TGAGAGCCAGTCTCATCATAGCATTCGATGGTTTTTGCGACTGCACTTGAGGATACATTCAAAGTTCTTGACATTTTCCGGATCGACCGACCTTCATTTCTTAAAGTGATGATGGACGGTCGTTTCTCTTTACTGGGTTGAGTCGTTCTTGCTATAATATGGATTAAAACAGCAGTCAAATAGGGCTTTCCACTGTGCACTAACTCTACCTCTGCACAACACAACTGATGGTCTCAAACACATTAAGAAGGCAAGTCATTCCACACATTGACTCTTGACAAGGCACACGTGTTCATTGAAAACCATTCCAGGTGTCTACCTCATGAAGCTGACTGAGAGAAGCAATGGGTGCAAAGCTGTCATCAAGGCAAAAGGAAGCTACTTTGAAGAATCTAAAATAAAAATCATATTCTTGATTTTTTTTTAACACTTTTTTGTTAACTAGATAATTCCATTTGTGTTCTTTCATAGTTTTGATGTCTTCAGTATTCATCTACAAAGTATAAACATATTAAAATAAACAAAAAACATTGAATGAGAAGGTGTGTCCAAACTTTGACTGGTACTGTATATAAAACACACACATTTTAATATTTAGCAGGTTCCCTCATCTATAATCATTTATACAAGCTCAACTTTGAACATATACAGCACTTAAAATGCAACATACGAAATATTCAAGAAACATCATACATTAAACACTACAGGCGTAGTGTATAGTGAACGATCCCAAATACAATTAATTGTTTACATTGCAGCTAGTGCTATGCCAGAAGAAAAAAAACGTTTTAACTGGAAGTGGAAAGGGGCGGGGCTACATAAGGTGAATTGAGCCAACACAAATACACAATAGGTGGGACTAAGAAATATAATTTGAAAATATATAAACAAAGGCATTAATTAGGGCTGCAAAATGTCTCCCATTGTAATGGTGATTAGATTTTTAAATGCCAACACTTAACCTCTTAAGCCCGGTCCCCCCGATACCGGGGAGAAAAACGCGTCACGGCAGGAGACAGCGTCTGAGGGCTTCTTAATATTTAAAAACCTATGAATGTCTTATACTCAAATAACGGGAAAAAACTCAGCTACCTGACGATATGAGCCATTTTTACCGAAACAAAACACAAGTCTCACAAGAAGCGTTAGCATTAGCCCTTAGTGAAAACAGGCTGATGCTACTTCCGGTGCTAACTAGCAAAAACGATCTTTAAAACTTAATATGTTCTGCATAAACTACATATCAGCTGAAAGCTGATACTCCACAGATTATTTTGATATAAGTATCATCACGGTAGGACACAAACTCACTGAGCTAGCAGCCAGAACAGAGCAAGAAAACAACAACAGTGTTCTAAACCATAAAAATAATTATGTCTTACCGTTGCTGTTTTGTGATCAAAAGTCGTGTTCAAGGGAATAACTTTAGAATTGTTCCTGATAATCCATCATTACATTCATGGCCGCAGAGTAGGTATAAAGTTTTGCAGTCCGGGGTTTAGGCTTTCTCACGTGCTGTTTACGCAAGCCTCTCTCTCCTTGACGTAAGTGTAAAGCGGGATTTACTATCTCCCCCTCGATTCTATTGGCTCCAAAGTTTCAAAAAAGGTGTCAATCACCCAAATCGACCAATGGGTTCCAGAGATAGGATCCTGCGTAGTATGAATAATGCCAGCAGCGGCTGCTTTACGCACAGACGTAGCAGAAGCAGCCGCACAACCGCTCCAGCACAGCAGCAACAAACACAACACAGCGAAGCGACAACACAGCAACGAACACAGAGACAACAGCAGGCAACCCTGATTAGGAACTTCAGGAAAGGTATGTACTCTCTCTGTTTGTATCTTTTAGTTGTGTATTTGGTGTAATCTATAGTAATTCCACACTCGCAAAAATACAAAATGGACGCCCCTTTGTTGTTGTAGCGTTATCGTTCCGTGAGAAACTAAAACAATGGCAACATCATGTTGGTGAACGTATAAATAGATGAATTGTATTTCGTGACTATAACACGGCAGTATATAAATAAAGCTGTATTGTATATCAACCCAGTATATATATATATATATATATATACTGTTATTCCACACACGCCAAATGGATGCTGTTTTGTAGTTCTACATACATGGACTATTAGCAGTATTATTAAATATATATATATATATATACACTATAGCGTAGGGGTGTTGGAAATAATCGTTTCTACGATGCATTGCGATGCGGACGTGGACGATTCGGTCTCGATGCAGTGACGGAAGATAATCGGTTATAGCGTAGTAACGTTGCTTCCTGATTTTCCGGCCGCGGCTTTACTATAACGTTTTTTTTTTCTGTCACTTTAATATCAAATCGGTCGGTGACGCAGAGATCAGGGAACAGACGTGACAGCGAAACAGCAATACCAAACACGGAGCGGTCTGCTTTATCCACCAACACAAGAACACCAGTCCAGAACCAACAGCAGAAGGACCCGCTCTGAATCACTCCGTGTCGCTGCGGCACAGGGATTTATGTTTTTCAAAAATAATCGCGTTACAATCATGTCAGGTTTTTGGTGGATTTAATTAAGTCTTGGATTGCAAAGTATGAATGTCCTCTAGCAATTTTCAGACGATATATACGTGTGTAAAGTTTGTGAAGGCAGGAGGAAAAAAGCTTCCGCGATCACCGTCTCCTCTCCGTTCCTCCAAACCCCGCCCCCTCCCTGAAAATAATGAGTGACAGGCTGATAGTGACCCGATAGAAACTTTATTATTCACTTAATCACTGAGATATAATGAAGCTAACTTAATCTCATACATTCATGGGATTTATGTAACAGTAAGACAGAGAATGTAAGTGTGCACCCACATGCAGTATTTTTGTTTGTATATGCTATTGTAAATACTCCTGTTGTCTGCTGTGTTCAGACTCAAGTCCTGTGTGTGATGCCACATTCAGGACATTCAGTGTCCTTTTTTTAACAGAAGACCGTTGCTAGAAGCTGCAGCTAGACTGCAGAAGCATTATTTTTTTGTTTTTGAGGATGGAACAACTTCACACACATATATATAGGGAGGCTAGACCTATACAATTCATTTATTTTGGTTTATAAATGAATGTCAAGACATTTATGTTATTGATTTCTGAAGCACTTTCTAAATAATAAAAATAGAGTTCATATGTATTTACTGCATGTATGCATTGATGAAAAATAAGCCATGTGCAGTAATATAGAAAATTGAGGATGCAACGCATTGGTATGAATCGTGATATCGAATTGAATCGAATCGTTGACAGGATAATCGTAATCGAATCGTGAGACCAGTGAAGATGCACAGCCCTACTATAGCGTGTGTGAAATAACAGTATACACATATATATATATATATATATATATTTATGTGTATATATGTGCTAAATGGAGGAATTATTTCTGATTTGAGTTACATTTTTGAAAGAATAATCCAGTGAAGTAATCAAAGTAATTGTTTTTTCCACATTTGTTTTCACAGTAATGAAGACAAGTATCAAATGGCTTCTGGATCACAGACCATCAACATCTGCCTCATCCGAGCTACGACGTGCATCAGATCAGCATACAGTTGCCCCAGAGCCATCAACATCCAAGCTACGCCGCCGGACGTCTGCACCAGTACTAACTCAGCCTCCCTCTGCATCTTCTGATTCAGTGGACAGACTGTCAGGAGGAAAGTAAAACGGGCTGGTGTGTGGCAGACTAAGGTTGTTACCGTTCCTGACACTGTGGTGGACTACAACAGAAGCATGGGCTGCGTGGATGTGTCCGATGCTTTGATTGGGTACTACAGCGTTCACCACAAAACCATGAAATGGTACAAGACCTTTTTTTACAATTTTCCGGACATTGCAGTGGTGAACCGCTTCCTTCTCCACAAGGAGCTGCACAAGATGAGGGGTGACCCGGCAGGACGAAACCACACACCCAGAAGTCCTTCAGGGAGCAGCTTGCTGCAGACATGAGGGGTGAAGTCCCTGCAGCAGCACCACCACCACTCCCCCCATCATCACTCGTATGCATTCCCAAGTATTATGGGGAAGATGCCACCGCGCTCAGGAGGTGCTCTGATGCTGGCAACACAACGGTGAAGACCTATCTACTGCACTAAGTGCCTGGTGCCTCAATTCAAAAACACTAAACACATTCAGGTTGTGTACATTTTTTCTTTTTTGCCAGTGTTTACAAAAAAAATGCTTGTGGTGTTATTTCGGTTTTAGTGTAGTTTTTTAGTGTTATTTTTGAAATAAATCTGCTCCTACAAATGTATCCTATGTTTCCTAATTGTTATTGTGTAAGTACACCTTCCTAGAAGTGTTAGTCGGGTGATAAACATGTAAGGACTGTGGCAAAGTCCACACACAGACACACACACCATTTACATACAAACAAAAATGTAATTAAAAAAAATATATATATATTTTTTAAAACACTTGTATTTGGATGGAATGATTACCTATAGTGATAATAACATTATTTTTACAGTATGGTACCTGAAAAAGGTCAAATGGCACTGATGGTATCAAAATGTGCCCAAAGGTCAGTCCGCCTGGACTACTTTTTGCTAAACCTCTCTAAAAAGGTCACATTTAACTTGTTTGGCCTCAATCTTGATACAGGGTACTTATTATGTTATACTCTGGATTCCTAAAGCTTTTAGTCTACTATCCCAACATTCAAAAGTAGTTTTCACTATAAGTAATGTTTTTTTTTTAGGCGGAGGTAAGAATTTACCTTTTTTTACTATGTTCCATCTGAATTTACTCTGACTGAGAAATATCTATATTGATCCTGACACTTCTACATCCAACTCACAGATGTAACCTTGCTTTGATAAAATAAATTATTTATATAACCCTTTTAGAAGTTAAGTTATAGTCATTTGTTTTGGGCATAGCATTTTTTAGCCTGAAACCTTAAAAACAGGCTCAGGGCTTAAGAGGTTAACAGTTTATTCTGACTGTGTGTTTCCTGTTTCCTGCAGATGTCCAGCTGCTGGTGGTGGTTAAAGAAGAGTTTCTCCCTGACCAGCAGGAGTGGAGCACAAGTCTGGACCCGGAGGACCCAGAGCCCCCCCCACACATTAAGCAGGAACAGGAGGAACTCAGGATCAGTCAGGAGGGAGAGCAGCTTCAGGAGCTGGGGGAGGCTGAGATCACCAAGGCCACTTTCACTCCTGACCCTGTGAAGAGTGAAGATGATAAAGAGAAACCTCAGTCCTCTCAGCCTCATCAAAGACAAACTGAACACATGGAAACAGAAGCTGATGGAGATGACTGTCGAGGACCAGAACCAGCCAGGAGCTCAGATCCAGAGAGCAGTTTACAACCAAAGACTGAGGACGACACTGGAGACTCTTCTGAACCTGACACTGAAGACAGTGCTGATTGGAAGGAGGCCAGAGAACCTGCATCAGGCTCAAACTCACTGAAAAATAGACATGAATCTGTCAGTGATCCACAACCTAGTGCTGAAAATAAACCATTCAGCTGCACAGTCTGTAAGAAAGCTTTTTCACAGAGTGGGCATTTAAAGGCACACACGAGAGTCCACGCAGGAGAGAAACCATTCAGCTGCTCAGTCTGTAAGAAAGCTTTTTCACATTGTGGAGATTTAAAGAAACACATGAGAATCCACACAGGCGAGAAAGCACACAGCTGCTCAGTCTGTAAGAAAGCTTTTTCACAGAGTGATGGTTTAAAGAAACACATGAGAGTCCACACAGGAGAGAAAGCACACAGCTGCTCAGTCTGTAAGAAAGCTTTTTCACGGAGTGATGGTTTAAAGAAACACATGAGAGTCCACACAGGAGAGAAAGCACACAGCTGCTCAGTCTGTAAGAAAGCTTTTTCACATAGTGGAAATTTAAAGAAACACATGAGAGTCCACACAGGAGAGAAAGCACACAGCTGCTCAGTCTGTAAGAAAGATTTTTCACAGAGTGAAGATTTAAAGAAACACATGAGAATCCACACAGGAGAGAAAGCACACAGCTGCTCAGTCTGTAAGAAAGCTTTTTCACGGAGTGATAGTTTAAAGAACCACATGAGAGTCCACACAGGAGAGAAAGCACACAGCTGCTCAGTCTGTAAGAAAGCTTTTTCACAGAGTGCAGATTTAAAGAAACACATGAGAGTCCACACAGGAGAGAAAGCACACAGCTGCTCAGTCTGTAAGAAAGCTTTTTCACGGAGTGATAGTTTAAAGACACACATGAGAGTCCACACAGGAGAGGAAAAATAGAGCTGCAATTTTTGTGACAAAATATTTAAATGGCATAATCGTTTCAAAAGACATAAGTGTGTTGGTCGTCAGCCGATTCTGTAACTGTCAGGGAATACATTCATCTATTTTGTATCCTGATGACCTCATGCCATTACATGTAATACGTTGCTCCCTAAGCCTGATTTCACCCACCTGCAACCGATTCGCTAATAATCACAAATCTTCATTTTCTTTGACCCCTTGACTCGACTATTTCTTGTTTAATAATCGTTACATCTCCTCAGGACCAAGTTCCAGTGTCCTGCCTTTCACCTGCTGATCACCGACTGCTCATTTAAGGTGGACTCACCTTTACAAGGGACCAGCTAGTCTTAGTGTCTTAATGCAAATGTGTTGTAAAGTGATGCTAGACCAAAAACGTGCTGTTGGGTAGTGTGCTCTCTGCAGGACGGTGTCTGTACTCAAATATTGTTTATGAAATGAGAGCTTCATTCCGTTGTTGTTGTCTAAACAACGCCAACAGTGCGATACGTCTTCTTTCCAGCAGATGGCATACATGTTACATCATCCAGTTCAACTGTCATCCACATATTAATGATTCAAAACAGCAATGTGTAAGATATGGCTAGTAATTGACCATTTCAACAGAATGTGAAGAGTTTACAGTCGTGAGGCCATGTCCAATATGTTTATGTTTTGTTTGAATAAATCTACTGAAATGAGCATTCAATGACTAAATTATTCTTAATTACTGTCATTACATCATGGGTTTGCATTGCAATATTAGAACGCATTAAACCCAACTTGAGTTCTTCCAAGTTGCAGGTGTTCATTGTTTAGAAGTCTGCTGTGTTTCATCCAAGCTTCCACTTTGTGCTCCGATAATGCTGAAAGTATCTGTTGTATGCTTTACCTGCTCCAGTAACAAAAGTGTAATTCACTGGACAGAGACAAGAGATAGTGGATGGATCCCGAAAAGAACCAGAAGATAGTCCGTATAGAGCCTTCAGGTTCTGATCATGATCAGTGACAGAGCTAGAAAAAAACTCCAAAAACCTGAATAGAGCTAGAAGATAGCCAGTACAAAGCCAAGAAAGACCAAGTAGAAAGACAGGAAGGAGCCAAAAGAGTTTGTGTTTTTTAATATTCAAGCTCTTCTCTTAAGATATTAGAACTTCCTATCTCAACATGTATCCTTTTATGTCAATTAAAAAAACCTTACATTTTTGCTGCCAATTATTGAGATTGTTTCACAGCTTTATCTTAAATATATAGACTGTTATCTTTACATATAGATTACATAGGATGAACAGCACGGTCCACTCTGCTGGATTCTGCCCAAATCTGCTCCAAATGCATGCACACATCTCGCTGTATCCATACTCCTGCAGTTGTATTGTTCTGGATTCATAGTGAAGTGTATTGGATGTAATGCACTCTTATTGTTATGTATTTAATATAAAGTGAAATACCCATAAAGTCAGAAAAGAAAAGAGACTCACTTTAGGAAAAAGGTTCTGAACCAGTGAGAGTTCTTCATTTGCATATAAACATGGTAAAATATTTAAAGTTGTAACCAGATCCCATCATGCAAAATGCACCTTTGTACGTCTTTTATACATGAATATGTGTCCCCGGTGTTCCAGGGAACTCACCAAGTGTCAGAAAACACAACCCTCTCTATTTTCCTCCTTAGCCAAATCTCTAAAAAAGGGGCTGCAACGGATCTGAAAAAAACGGATCCAGATTTCACTTATTTTCTACGTCACAAAGACGTGCTCCGCTTATTGGTCAACTCTCCACCTATCGGGAATGAGCCACGGCCACGTGCATTGCCAAACCTCTCATTCGCATATAGGCTATCGGCAGGCTAAATCAACCCCAGTCACATCTGTGTTTTTGCCTGCTCTTGCCAGGATGTCTAAACCAGTTAAACATTGTGCTGTTGTTGGCTGCAAGACTCGAGAAAGGGGACTGCATGCAATGCCATCAGTGGAAAAATAAAATAATCTGTGGCTAGACTTCATTTTCAAGGGACATGTGCCAGAAGACCACGGCAGATTTCTGTTGGTGTGACTGTGTTCCAAACATTTTACGACGGACATCAATCAATCAATCAATCAATCAATGTTTATTTATATAGCCCAATATCACAAATGTTACATTTGTCTCAGTGGCCTTTACAGTTTGTACAAAATATCAGTATGACAATACGACACCCTCTGTCCTTAGACCCTCACATCGTACAAGGAAAAACTTCCGAAGAAAACCCACAGTTTAAAGGAAACATGGGAGAAACCTCAGGGAGAGCAACAGAGGAGGGATCCCTCTCCCAGGACGGACAGACGTGCAATAGATGCCGTGTGTAAATTGAAAAGATAATACATTTGCAACATAGGTAGTCCAAATGTTTGGAAATGCATGTGTGTATAATAGGAAGATGAATCCACGAGGATATCCATCCAGGACCTATGATCCAGGACCACAGCCACGACTCAAGATCCAGGGCTCGCGATCCAGGACAGAGGAGCGCAGGATCATCCATGACTCCGGATCCCGGCGTATATAGACACCAAAAAGAAAGACATTTGGGGAAGCTGGGTTAAGCGGAACATGAGAGTACACAGGTATAGACAGAGAGAAGGAAGAAGTAAGATGTCCCCCGACAAAATAAGCCTATATCAGCAAAACTAGGGGCTGAATCTAAACAGCCCTAACTATAAGCTTTATCAAAAAGAAAGGTCTTAAGCGCACTCTTAAAAACGGATAGGGTGTCTGCCGCCCGAACACAAACTGGAACTAATTCCACAAATGTGGAGCTTGATAAGAAAAGGCTCTGGCTCCCATTGTACTTTTAGAGACTCTAGGAACAACCAACAACCCTGCATTCTTGGAACGCAATGCCCTAGTAGGACAGTAGGGTATAATGAGTTATTTAAGGTAAGATGGCGCCTGCCCATTAAGGGCTTTGTAGGCGAGAAGAAGAATTTTAAATTATATCCTGTGTTCTATAGGGAGCCAGTGTAAGGCAGCCAGAACAGGAGTAATGTGGTCCCTTTTCCTAACTCTGGTTAGTACACGAGCTGCAGCATTTTGAATCAGCTGAAGCGACTTGACTGACTTCTTGGTACACCCTGATAATAAAGAGTTACAATAATCCAGCCTTGAAGTAACAAATGCATGGACTAGTTTCTCTGCATCGTTTTGAGGCAAGATATGCCTGATTTTTGCAATGTTACGTAGATGGAAGTAGGCGGTCCTTGAAATTGATTTTATGTGGGCGTTAAAGGATAAATCCTGATCAAATATAACACCAAGATTCCTTACAGTCTCACTGGAGGCCAAATTAATGCCATCCATAGTTAGTATATCCTTAGATAATTTGTTTCGTAGATTCTTCGGGCCAAGTACAATAACTTCAGTTTTGGTCGTGTTTAACATCAAAAGTTTAAGGTCATCCACGTTTTAAGTCCTTGAGGCAGTCTTGAATTTTATTTAGATGATTAATTTCATCAGGCTTGATTGATAAATATAGTTGAGTATCATCCGCATAACAATGAAAATGTACAGAATGATTCCTTATAATATTGCCTAACGGAAGCATATATAATGTGAACAAAATAGGTCCGAGCACTGAGCCCTGTGGCACTCCATGGCTAACTTTGGTTTGCGTGGAAGATTTATCATTGACACGTACAAACTGAGAGCGTTCAGATAGATAGGACCTAAACCAGTCTAAAGCAGTTCCCTGTATGCCAACTAAGTGCTCTAGTATTTGCAATAAGATATCATGGTCGATAGTATCAAATGCAGCACTGAGATCGAGCAAAACAAGAATAGAGACACGTCCCTTGTCAGAAGCTATTAGAATGTCATTTGTGACTTTAACCAGAGCTGTCTCTGTGCTATGATGTGTTCTAAAGCCAGACTGAAAATCTTCAAATAAATCATTGTTTTTTAAGTAATCACACAACTGTTTTGCGACCGCTTTCTCAAGAATTTTTGAGAGGAATGGAAGATTGGAAATAGGTCTATAATTGGCTAAAACCTCTGAATCGAGGTTGTGCTTTTTAAGAAGCGGTTTTATCACTGCTACTTTGAATGATTGTGGAACATAGCCTGATAATAAAGACATATTCATAATCTTTAATAAATAAGTGCTAATTAATGGAAAAACTTCCTTCAACAGCTTAGTTGGAATTGGGTCTAACATACACGTTGATGGTTTAGAAGAGAGAATCATTGAATTTAATTGTTCAAGGTTTATGGCTGAAAAGCATTCTAGTTTACTATCTAGTGTAATATTAGAACTTATGTTTCCGGGAGCTGTTGATAACACTATACTGGTCAAAGGCAAGAGGTCATTAATTTTGTTTCTAAGAATAACAATTTTATCGTTAAAAAAGCACATCAAATCATTACTACTGAGTGCTATGGGAATAGAAGGCTCAATCGAGCTGTGGCTTTCTGTCAGCCTGGCTACAGTGCTGAAAACAAATCTTGCATTATTCTTATTCTCATCTATTAATTAAGAGTAGTAGGCTGCTCTCGCTTTATGCAGTGCTTTCTTATATTCATTGAGAGTAATATGCCAAATTAAACGAGATTCTTCAAGTTTAGTGGAACGCCATATCCTTTCAAGTTGTCTCGACTTTTGCTTTATTTTGCGGGTTTCGGCATTATGCCATGGAGCTAATCTATGTTGTTTTATTTTCTTCTTTTTCAAAGGAGCAACAGAGTCTAATTTTATTCGCAGCGCATCTGTAGCACTATCAACAACATGATCAATTTGGGGTGGTGTACATTTTGTATAAGTTTCCTCCCTTACATGCAGACATGCTATCGAGTTAAGTATTGGTGGAATCTCTTCCTTAAATTTGGCTATAGCACTAACAGATAGGTTTCTGCTGCAGGAGCTTTTGACTAATGCTTTGTAGTCTCGTAACAGTACTTCAAAAGTTACTAAGAAATGGTCGGATAAAGCAGGATTATGCGGTTCGACTAATAGTTGCTCAATTTCAATACCATAAGTCAGAACAAGGTCGAGAGTGTGATTATAGCAGTGGGTTGGTTTATTTACACTCTGACAAAAACCAACAGAATCTAATATAGTGTTAATTGCAACAGTAAGGCTATTTTTATCATCGTCAACATGAATATTAAAGTCACCTACGATAATTACTTTATCTGTTTTAAGTACCAAAGTTGATAAAAACTCAGAATGCTTATGAATGTTTATGAATGCTTATGAATGTTTATGAACTTCTCTTAAGTCCAACACGGATATGCCTCCAAACTAATGCTAAACCCGGGATCAATACCAACCATCCGGGACCAGGCCAGTGAGGACACATCCAATTTTGAAGCTGTACGTTTTTATTTAGCGGTGTTTTTCCTGATAAAGCTATCTCTAGCTTGTAGTATGTAGCATGTAGCATGTAGCTTCGCCGTATCAATGTCGCCTCAAACCCAAATAGTAATCGGTTAGGTGTTTATATGTTTTTGTAACATTTTATTTTGTACGCTCCGCAGTCTTTGCTTTGTCTTTTATTTTAATTATCAGGCATTTGCTAACATGTTCAGACATACTGCCATAATGGCAATCTGTGTGAAGGCTGTAAAGCCATGCCCTAGCCCAGGGGTGGCCAACCAGTCAGAGGTTAAGAGCCACATTTTTTCTATGTTACTGCAAAGAGCCACAACAAACACACAGTCACTGATAC